AACAAAAGTATTCTCTACCACCAACTAGCGAAATATTTGCTCAATAAGTATTCCCCATCCTTGTCTGGGGATCATCTTTTGGAAAGAGCTGCATTTATGTACCAAGTACATCAGCTTTAACTTACTGTTGGAATGGAGACCAGGCAGATATTAAACAGGAAGATGACGTGATTGCGTGGGGCTGTGCCTCAGATGATGGACTGGAAAGATACGGGGGTTATGGAAGAGAAAGAGTCAATGAGAGCTACTGTTTTACTAACCAAGGAGGTGAAGAGAAGAGAGGAAGAGTCTCTGAGTCTGGGCACCCGGTACCATCTTTGGTGATGCCACTTCGGGGAAACAAGGAGGGGTGTTTTTAAGGAAGAACTGTAAGGGATGCATTCGGTCTTGAGCTAGTGGTAACGGGTGCATCTGAAGTACATATAGAAACCAATGGGCTTGCTCCTTCAGGAGACCGCAAAATGATGCTTGTGAACATTTAGGAAGTAGTTCCTGAGGTCATGGAAGTATTCTTGTATTTGACACTGGGACGATGGCTTAGATGGTAATGTGTGGATCACACAAGTGTGAGGACCTTAGGTTTGATCTCTGATGCATAAAATGACAAGTGTGGAAGTGCATGTCTGCAACCCTAGACCCAGAGAATGAACACACGCACGTGTGTGTGCAACACACACACACCACATGTGCACGCACACATGCACACACACACACACACACTCATTCACTATGTTTTTCTGGACTTTAACTGGGCTTAAAAAGACTGGTGGATTTGACAGAAGACCATTATTTCTCAATTTTTTTTTCTCCCAAAGTTTCACTGAAGGTCCTCGTAAGGTCTTTACCTACACGACCACTTCTAATTGTTACCCATGTCCCTCATTTCTCCTGGGTCTCAGTTGTCCTTACCCACCTTCTTGCCCCGTTGATAAACATTATTCTTCTTCCCTCTGACTTTTGTTATTACTGTCTTTCATGTAACACTTCCTCAGTCTGGATGTGTGGCAAATCAATCACTCTAAGTTGTCTCAAGATTTCTTTTTTTAAAAAGAAACCTTTCTTTCTTTCTTTCTTTCTTTCTTTCTTTCTTTCTTTCTTTCTTTCTTTCTT